ACTGTTCTCCTGCATAATGTCAAGTCAATCACAGCTAGTTCTCTATTTCTCTCAGTAGCCAAACTTAGCAGCCAGCAAGTAGCCTTTCTCAGGAATCACTGACAGCCCTGTGTCCCTTGGCATGCCAGATACATACCTTCCTGTGGTAAGATCCCAGACAGAATCAGCGACCCCTTGAGGAGAAAACCCTGCCTTGTCATACCTACCCATGGTGAGACCCCGCCCCAAACAAATGCAGGAACTAATTAAAGTACCAGGAGACCCTTGGCATTAGGCTGTCTTCCTATAAGCAGAATGTGATCAGCTATCTATTGTGCAGGGCCCCCTGAAGGCAGGAGGATGACCAGACCATTCAAGAAAACCCCTAGTCTCCCCGTGGGAGGTAGATCCCTCCTGGACCAGAGGCTCAGCCTGCTTGAGGCAGCTCCACAGCCTGTGGTCCCCAGAGGCTCACTGTCCTGTTCAGCTATTGGCTGTTTATGCTCACCGCGAACTCTGTGGTTGTTAGTAAGCAGCCTTAAAAGCCAGGGAGTGTCCCTGCTGAGAGAGCCCTGGGCATCTCTGCTTGCAAGCTAGACTTGGTGGCAGCTGCAGGGGCGGGCCTCACCTGGGATCAACTGGCAAGGATGAATACTTCCAAGCTGTCCCGGGTGAACAGGATAAAACAATTTTGGAGGGTGAGTAGAAGGGCACAAATCCATTTATTGGAAAGAAATGTTTAATTTTGAAGGGGGGTGGGGGTTGCCGCTAACCGGCAGGGTGAGACTTGTAGAGCAAGAGTTCTTTATCTTACAAGGCTCCTGCTGGAGGTTGGCTTGGGTGTGTTTGATGCCTCGCCAAAGGTTTGGGATTTAATTTTAACTAATCTGCAGCAGATGCAATCAGCAGCCAGCTCAGCTTTGATATTTGCTCAGAGCAAAAGTTTTCTGGAAAAGGCAGGTTAGCCTTTAGCCGCAGTGTTACCTGGTCCCTGGGTACCAGACACCACATTCTGATCATAACCTCCGGAGCAGACCTGGGTGTCGTGGGTGTGGGCTAAGACAGAGTCCTGAAAATGAAGTTCACAGGTCTGTTTCTTTCTGGCATTCTATTTTTTCGGAAGCCCTGACTAACCAGAGAAAAGAAAGCTAAGAAAACCCAGAGCTTTGTGTTGCACTCACAGAGATGAAGGATGCAGGAAGGTGACTGCCATCCACTCCAGTGTGGGATGCTCTCACACTGTAGACAATCACCATGATCCTGTGCCTTAGACACCAAGCTGGATCATCACAGGCAGTTTCTGGGACCTTTTGGCTCTTGAGCAGGATGGCAGAGCCCTGTGCAAACCACTTCTTGATCTCACATGCAACAAAGAAAGGACTCTTTCCAGAGGAGAGACTTGGGGTGATGGGTCGTGTCTGTATTGAATGCCATTGTCAGATTCCAGTACTGCTTAGGGAGCTGGGAATCAAGGAGTAACTGGGCCCATTCTAAAGGGAGGTTTCTGACTTACTGTGATGGTATGTGAGTCTGTGGTATTTTGAAGCTAGAACTGGCACCTTGCTTGCAGAAATGCCTTTAATCGATGAATAAATGACAAGCAGCCATGCTCTTAACCCCTTTCTTACAGCACAAACTGCTTTCTTCTCTCTGGCTGATGCTCCAAGATATTTAGGAAAGGCCTGCATGTATGTACAGAAGAGTTTTGTCAGTTGTATCTTGTGACACAATATCTATTAATTTTTACTTGCATTGATCATAACATGAGTTTGCCAGTAATTCAAGACGAAGGGGTCTATGATCTGCTTGATACAACCAAACCAATTTCTTCCCAAATTAAAACATATATAAAGTACATAAATATGTATTTCTTCTGAGCAAGAAGAAGGATATTAACATAGTTAAATGATGACCTCTTCAGGTATACTATAGGTGGTCTGCATGGCTCTGGGCTGCAGAGACCTGGGTTCTGGGTCAGCCGCTTCATGCTCTTGTCCTGTGGATAAAGTAGGTGGTCCCACTCACCTCTGACAGTTATCTGAACAGCATGAATAAATTCTCTCTCTCTCTCTCTCTCTCTCTCTCTCTCTCTCTCTCTCTCTCCCAAACATCTGTCTGTCAGTGACTAGAGAAGTTTGATTAAATTTCTCATCCTGGGCTCTCTAGCTATTAGAGGACTCTCTCGGTATCTTAGGAGCTGGCTCCAGACTTCAAATTCTTCCTCAGGGTCATGGGTATGGTGGATCAGGTGCTTGATGAACCACAGGCTTGCTCAGTTCTGAGTTTCTTCTTCTACAGACTAAATTTCATTTTAGCTATGAACATCTGTATGCTCAGAGAACCCCTTGCACACAGTATCCCAGAGCTTCACCTTGTACTTGAGAAGGGGGCCTCGGGGCCCAGAAGTGTTCTTCCTTTTAGCCTAGCCCATGGCAGTTCAAGAGGGCTCCCTCAGGTGGCTCTAAAGCAATGCCCAGGATTTCACCAGCCAACAACAGGTCTAGACAAGGCAGAGAATTGTGCAGAATCTGAGGAATTCCTTAATTATTTAGGAAATGGAAATGGGTGATATAATTACTCTTGTTGTCTGGTCTCTGAATTATTTACTCTCTTTTCAGTAGTAGTTTTATGATAATTGCTCCAGGCTGCTATTAAGGACTTATTTTAAAACCCAGAAATAGATTAGAAAACAATGCCAAAGAGAGGATTTAAAAGTGTCTTAATGGCCTGGCAAAGTGGCTTTCCACTCACCTCGCCCTCTCTCTGCCTCATCCTGGGTGGATCGCCACTCCCAGGGAGTCTGGGCTGCATAGTACTCTGACCTGTCCAGTGTGAACCATCTGCAGGATAAAGGTGAATTTGAAAGAAGTGCAGCTGTATGTGTGTTGGGGGCATTCGAGGGGACACCAGGGCTCCTTTATAATGACAAGGACAGTATTTTAACATTTGGGTTGGGCACTGGCATGAAATAAAACTGTGGTATCATTAATAATGATAATACAATAACCTTAAGAACAGTGTTAGTTCTCTTATGGTTTTGATTTTTGAGGGGTGTTGTTGTCCTGAGACATAATCTTCCTGTGTAGTTCCAACTGGCCTTGACCTCACTGTGCAGCACAGGCTAGTTTTAGGCTCATCATCCTTCTGCCTCAGCCCCCTGAGTGTGAGGACTATAGGCATGTGTCATGCCTGGCCCCAACATGGTTTTATTGGTAGTGAATAATTATAAGAAGGTTGTTTAGACAAACCCAGGATTGTTCCTGCCTGCAGTGGTAGGAAGAGTTTGGAAATCTCTGTCTCAGTGGCTTCATATTTAGACTGCACATAGAATGGCTTGATTTCACCATGAAAAACTTTCAAATATGTTATTGGGTATGTCCTAAAGCTATTTGACTCAAAACATATTAGATATCTACATATTGGTGAAAACAACCCAGTTTTACAAGAAGAAAAATTGTAGACTCTTTTTCTTTTTCTGTGTTATTATTTGTGATGTGAAATTACTGCAATTGAGACATTTCACAAGTCACAACCATTAAAGGTGGAGTATTGGGACAGGGCAGAGCAGCTCACAAGGTAGAGCTGGAATGATGGAGCAGGGCAGTTCACAGGGGAGGGTGGGATGATGGAGCAGGGCAGTTCACAGGTTAGAGTGGGAATGATGGAGCAAGGCAGTTCACAGGGTAGTGTTGGGATGACAGAGCAGGATAGTTCACAGGTGAAGGTGGAATGATGGAGCAGGGCAGTTCACAGGTGAAGGTGGGATGCTGGAGCAGGACAGTTCACAGGTGAAGGTGGGATGATGGAACATGGCAGTTAACAGGTGAAGGTGGGATGATGGAGCAGGGCAGTTCATAGGTGAAGGTGGGATGATGGAGCAGGGCAGTTCACAGGGTAGAGTTGGAATGATGGAGCAGGGCAGTTCACAGGTGAAGGTGGAATGATGGAGCAAGGCAGTTCACAGGGTAGAGTTGGAATGGTGGAGCAGGGCAGTTCACAGAGTAGAGTTGGGATGATGGAGCAGGACAGTTCACAGGTGAAGGTGGGATGATGGAGCAGGGCAGTTCATAGGGTAGAGTTGGAGTGATAGATCAGGGCAGTTCACAGGGTAGAGTTGGGATGATGGAGCAGGGAAGTTCGCAGGTGAAGGTGGGATGATGGAGCAGGGCAGTTCATAGGGTTCAAGACATTTAGTTCTGTCATGTCTTTCCCATGTTTTTGTCCAAGGCAGTCAGTGCATCTCTCCATCCCTTACTTTTCTGAGTTGTAATCCTGGGGGGAAGAGGGGCAGATGCAGATCAAGTCAGCAGGCTTCTCTGTGTGGTAAGTTAGTATTGTCAGCAAGGTCTCCTTTCCCTAACTTCTGATACTCAGGCTCTTGCTCCCTCTGTCTAAGTCAGAGTCCCATGCAATGGGCAAGAACCATGTCCACATCTGTAGACTGGGGTTCTCTAAGCAGCTCTAATGGACAGTAGAGTCGGAAAAATTGTCTGCCTGAGCTACTCTGCTGGCTCTTTCTCCATCTCTCACTAAGGTCCTAATGGCCATTTCCCAACAACTGAGCTCTGTGCAGAACAGGTTGTGGTTGCAGTGATTCCTCTCCTTTGGTAGGACTTTAACCACCCCACCCCACCCTGTTTGAGGAGCCTGGTCAAGGTTTTGGCTGTCTGTGAACTAAGCACTCATCAACCACCTGAATTTTTAATCCCCCAATGGAGCACTTTTCTTCTTGAGAGCTGTGAACTCCAGTTTCTAGGGGTAGGCTCATGAAAACAATTTACTCCTCCTATGTATGTGTGTCCTGCCTGTACAGCAGTCATCTCAGACATGAAGTATGCAGGGATCAGCCCAGTCCTTTTTTGCTAACAAATTTATAGTATTGTAAAGGTGTGGGGATCAGGAGTCATGATAGGGTGGCTTGGGATATCTCAATCTGGTGTTTGTCTCTTGTGACTCTTTCTAGTCTCAAGAAATTGACTCACAACCTCCCAGCTGCAGGTAGGACTCCTCTTGTGCTTTACCTCCTCAGTGCAAGCATGAAGCTGTCTGTTCAGGACATGTATTCCACATCTGCCACCTAGATGCTCTGAGAGTGTGCAGCATTGATTTTAGTGTCCAGCCAACATCTGTGCTTTCCAATATCTTTACATGTTACCTAAAAGAACAACTTCCGTAAGAAGAAGGCACACATCTTTTAGAAACACTTGCCCAGCTGGAATTCTGACTCTGGGTAGCTAAAAACATCTTCCATCCCCAAATGGCAAGCCTCCCTGCTCAAGTTTGTCCTGTATGTAACAACCTTAGTCAGGACTTCCCCAGAGAGGAAGAGACATTTGAGTCTTTGAATGTGGATTTCAGCTGTGTCTTCGCCTACTACTGGGTGAAAGAAGCTGAGTTGCTCCCTGTGAGAACCTTGGCCCCTTACCTATGATGTGACCAATATCAATGCAAAAGTTCTCATCTTAAAGCAAATATATTGTAGCCAAATATGAGTGACTGTGACCAGGGAAGACAGCTGTACACTACCCTTAATACCAAATTCTAACATGGTCACAGTTTCGCGAAGTTTTTAAAGTAACACAACAAAGAAAGCCATGCGTAAATAAATGCATTGGTGGGGACATCAGGCAGGCAGTTATGGCACACTGGGGGGATCTGCTGTAGGACACAAAAGCTAGCTGGTCATGTTCTTAGTCCAAAAAGATTTTGCCTAGCAACAACAAAAATGGGGAGTCAAATACAGAGGTGAGCAATGGATGGCTATTAAGGGAGCTAAAACAGCCCAAGATAAATTATCTCCAGGCTAGGAACATTCCAACTCTTAGCAGCCACGGGCACTCCAACCAGTCAGTCAACCCTTTAGTACCTTTAACACAGGTGTGGCTTTGTTTTCTATGAGCTTCAGTTTACTCTTGTTTAGACTGACTTTCTCGGTGCTCCCCCCTCACATCCCCTGGTGTTTTCTTCATGTAGTTGGGGAGTAGGGAAGACTAGTTTAAATCTGTTACTACACAGAGGAACTAAGGTATTGAGTATGAGCCCTTCTCAACCTCCCAACACACAAAGAATCCATAGACAAGACAAATTGGAATTGGGATTTGGTCCTTGGGCATGTTTTTATCTGTCTGAACTCACATCTCCTCCTCTATAGATGAAGCTGGTAATAGTATAGTTTTTTCGAGGGAGTGGTGGTCATGTTGGTAGTGTTTATGCACCCGGTAGAAACGACACTGGTGAAAGGCTGATCCACAGCTCATAGAGAAGGCAGGCTGAGTGTGCACTCAGAGCCCCGTTGTTTCTCTGGCTCACTCAGAGTTTCCACCCACGTCTTTGATGTGGTATGCAGAGCAGAGTGGTATCGGTGAGGGCTAGGGGTGATGCCTGCTGAAGAAGGAAAACGTTGCTCCCTCCTGAGCCTGTCAAGAAAGTATAACAAATGAACACTCTCCAGGTGGGCCCTTCTTCCCTTCCTCCTGTAGCTCTTGGGGGTGGGGATTAACAGTCTTTGCATTTGAACTTTTTCTTGTGTGTTAGCTTTTATTTTATTGTATATTTTTTTCCATATATGCCAGATCAAACTGCTTTCAGCTCTGGGGAGGAGAGAAAGAGCCAATAGGTTTCTTTCTCTAGAACTCTATGATCCAACTCAGGAGTTCCAGTCACCATGACACAGTCATTTTGTTGTCTGATAAGATCTTAATCCCATCGGACAAGTTCTTAGATTCTATGGCAGGTAGCAGTGGCGTACGCCTTTAATCCTAGCACTCGGGAGGCAGAGGCAGGTGGATCTCTGTGAGTTCGAGGCCAGCCTGGTCTACAGAGTGAGTTCAAGGACAGGCACCAAAACTACACAGAGAAACCCTGTCTCAAAGAAACAAACAAACAAACAGAAAAGTCCTTAGATTCTTTTTAACCAACTCCCAAACATTCTTAATTTGTATCTTTCTTCAACATTAAAAGCTGAAGCTTACTGAGAAGTTGAGGACATTAGCACTCCAAAGGCTGCCTGGTGGATATGGAAAGACGAAAAACCAAGGACCAGGAAGAGCTCTCTTCTTTCCAGAATTTAAAAAAAAAAAAAAATCTGTGTGAAGTGGGTTTCCACTAACCTACCAAGGATGCAACTAATGTAGACAGGCAAGACTGGCCAGCAAGGAAGTCCCCACCCTGCTCCAAGGGTCCACTAGGAGAGTCAGAGCACCACCATCTTCCCACTCTTAGAGGCAGGGGTGGCTGGATCTACATGGGAACTGAGTTGACGGTAACACTCAGGCTTTGTCTGGATGGCAGAGAAGTGCACAGTGACTCTTGGAAGTGGCTTAGAATGCTAAGCCAGCAAGTCTCCCTCCCAGTTAGATTATATTATTCGCTTTTACCTCATACCATGTATCCCCCCACCCCCCACCCCCCCACCCCCACTCCCAACACCCAACCCACCCCACCCCACCCCCGGCAACTGCGTTCTGGAACTCAACAATCACGTGGTTTGCCTTAAGAAGATTTTTGGTCCCCGGTGTGGACCAGACAGATTCTTAGGGGTTACTATTGATTCCATGGATGAATGGTTCTCTCTAAAGGCCTAGAAGAAAAGAGCCAGGGGAAAGAAAGTCGACTTTTTTCTCCAGAATTCTAAAAAGACACAGAAATCTACCATGTTCTCGGGCCACAGTGGTTACTTAAGGAAAACAGCCCTGGTAGTTTTCTCAGGGGATAGTTCATGGAAGAACTATTCCTAAGCAGCACATCCCTCAGTACTTAGATTTGTAGCTTGCTTTAACTGAGAGCCTGGGAAGAACATGAAAAGTATCTGCTGTCAGGCATTTTTGAAGAAAGCATGGTAAATATTTCATAAAGGGGAAATTAATACATGAAATGTGCACTCTCTGATGAATTGCTTGATGCTAGCAACGGAAGATCTAGCCCCTGATACAAAGCTCACAAGCAGATTTGTGAATTGGAAGGTAGGGGTGGTAGTTAGGGCAGGAACTGGCTGCTAGGTTGAGAGTTTCAACTTTTCCTCTGCCATCTCATCCTCTAGAGAGTGGGCCATAGTTGTGATCATTAGAAAGGTGTACACACAATTAACATTCTTATATGGATTTTAGACTATTGTGATTTAAACTTGGTTCCTGAAATCTTAATGAAGAACACTTATTCTTATTATCCTTGACATGAGTTTGCAGAGACCACTTCTCACAGGCAGAGAGACTTACTAAGATGCCTTGAGCAGCTAAGTACTGTCTTGTGCTCTATCTGTAAAAACTGATGATTACTTATCCTGTGAGTTTGGGTGAGAGATAAATGACATCACTATACAATGTGCAAGCATATAGCCTCTTTATCCTCCACAAATGTTACTGTCCTCTCTATCCCACTACAGTCCAAGGCCACATTCTGTCACAGCCAATGTCTATCTATTGAATGGAGAAATGGATGGATTGTATTAGTGAGAACATGAATGGATAAATAGAGCCAACCAAAGTTCTACATTAAGGTTCATAATTGACTCTTGAATCACTCAGCAGGATGTAAAGACTGTTTTAACTATTTTTCTGCACTGATGAAATTAGCATTATCTAATCATCTGAACACAGCATAAGCATTAAAAGAGAGACACCCCCATTTCTGTTTACCTGTCCCTCCATGGGAAAAATATTAACCTTGGGGAATCCAGGCTAGCAGTCATTATCTATAGACATTTCATGTGCTTTGTTAGTCACTCATCTGAGACTTTGAGAAGGTTCTTTGACTTGGGAAGTATTGCAGACTGTATCTACTCTACCATTTATCAATTAGGAAAAGAAAGCATTAAAAAGATAGATGTTTCACCCAAGGCTTTCAGGGATGACTGTTGGTCGGTTTGTGTCTGTCAACACTTGAGTATCTTCTCCTGTGTTCACCCACAAGAATGCAGAGAGTAGATCAGGATGATCAAAAGGACCCATGTAGTTCAGGGTGCCTTGTTTTGACAAAGATTTTAATACCGAATCAAAGTTTGAACATTACATCAAAAATCTCATTTATAAGTGAGTTTTCTTTTTGATTATGAATATGTTGATGATATCATTGATTTCTCATGAAAATACTTCATGAGGAAATTTATTACTTCCAGATAATAAATATGTCCTAGCCCTAAAATCTCCTCAATTTGTTTCCTCAAAAATTAACTGATGCCTAGTCATTAATTTAAAAGACATTTAATGACTTTACCTTTAGGTACCAAGTTTCTTTGGCCTTGAATTGAAAATGTGAATAAAAACATAATAGGTGGGTAAATGATAGCTAGATAAATAGATATAGATAAATGATAGATAGATAGATAGATAGATAGATAGATAGATAGATAGATAGATAGAGATGATAGACAGGTAATTTCTTACTGTCTAATTTTTCTGATAAAATGCCTGGTAGCAAGCAACTGAAGGAAGGAAGAGTGAATTTTGGCTTACAGTTCTAAGGAACACAGTTCATCATAGCAGGGACATCATGGGAACAGGAACACCAGGCAGCTGTCGCGTTTCATCTGGTCAGGAAGCAGAGAGAGATGAGTGCTGCTGCTGGGTTCATTTCCTCCTGTGTATTGAAGCTGGCACCCAGGCTGCTGGGTGATGTTGTCCATACATGGAGTCTCTCTATCAAACCTCTCTAGAAATGACCTCACGGACATGCTAGGACTGTGTTTCCAAGCTTATTTGAAATCTAGTCATGTAGAAGGTAAAGATTAACTATCATTCACAGATAGATAAATGATAGATAGATAGATAGATAGATAGATAGATAGATAGATAGATAGACAGATAGATAGATAGACAGATAGACAGACAGACAGACAGACAGACAGACAGACAGACAGACAGATAGATAGATAGATAGATAGATAGATAGATAGATAGATAGATAGATAGATAGATAGTAGGTGGGTCCTCCTAGTAGTTGCAGACAAGCATAGAAAACCAGTGTAAAATACTAGTTAGAAGATGAAAAATAGCAGGAGGAAAGAGGGCTGCAGCTACTTTAACAGAGTAAGTTTTTTCAGAAGGCAGAGGACTTAGCACCACAATGAGAAGATACGAGATGCTCGAACAGGGAGTTCAAAAATCTCCACATTGACTAAACAAGCACTAAGCAGAACAGTGTGACCCATGGAAAAAGATA